CAGTCATCATACAATGCATAGTCCCACAAATAAGTCACGTACTTGCTGATACACATCATTGACAATGTCCTAGGACTATCTTTATTCATAAACACATAGGAAATATCATCATACATGATTGCCTCTAGGGCATATCTCCAACATGGATTGCACAATATCTTCAACTCCGTCCAACTACAAGTCCGTCCACGACAACCGTTTCCATGGTGATGAGGATCACGATCCGAGGTCGGATCTTTCCCAAGGGCGGGGGGAGATGATGCAGAGCATCCCACGTTCATCCACATGTACACTCCGACTACTCTCCAAGCCCCAAGAGGACATATGACGAGACCTCGAACATACGCCATTGGACACAAGGTGAATTCACTCCTGTTCGAACCGTCACTTTCCACATGTGAGACATGGCTACTACCTCATGCATGGACCTAGCATATACTCAGGTACAACCGAGATGACCATGGAGAATCCAAGGACCAAGGCTAAGCATGGAAGAGGGGAAGGAAGAAGAAGAACGGAGCAAGACAGGACTTGCCAGGATCATCCGAACTCCCAGCTGGACGATCCGGACCAAGCCCCGATGATCCGGACCCTCGCCCGAACGATCCGGGTAATGTGCCCGAAGACACCCCCAAGCCTGCTCGACGAATCCGGATTATCCGGAAGGCCGCCTGGATCATCCGGGCCAACACCCGAATCATCCGGGTCACCTTCCGGATCATCCGGACCACGCCTGCGTGTGTGACTTGGGCCGAGGCCCATGTACCCCTTCGCCCCCTAGCCTATATATACTCCACCCCCACCACCCTTTGAGGGTCAGCATTGTGAAAGCTCATATTTGAGATAGAGCTTTGCTCATCCACTTGGTTACTTCTCCATCGGAGTCGAGTGCCTCTTCGGAGAAGATCCCCCAAGCGGATTCAAGACCCCTTTACGGGAAGACCCTTCAAGACCCCCTCACGGAGAAGAACTACCGCCACTTGTATCGTTCCTTGTTGGATTGGGATCGTGTATCTCTTTGTGTTTCGAGGATCTAGCATATGTGTGACCATCTCTTGTTGGTTGAGTGATTTCTCTCGTGTTTCCCTCGTGTTCCCCTCGATTTCCCCCTTGTGTTCTTCGTGTTCTCATAGGATCCCCTCCAATCGTGAAAGATCGGGCATCTAGGGTTCTACCCTACATCAATATGTCTTGCTTGATATGCTTAGCTTGCTGTAGTACTTGATTGCATGTACTAGATGGATGAAGTAGTGATACTTTGATAGCATGACTTTGGTTTGAGAATAACTGGAGTTATTGTCAAATGATGCTTTATTATTCATATACTCATCATGCTATTGTGATAACTAAAAATGATGAAGTTAAAACTAGTGCTTCAAGATGATTAGTAGTGCATGCCTAGTGATTTTATGATGTTGATCCATTCCATTTTGGTGATATGTGCTTACAGTTGCATGTCATATAGTTGCATGATCATGGCATACTATGGCTCGAGTTCTTTTATTTTCAAGTTAAACCTGATGATAATCCAACTTCAACATAATTGTTGATCGAGTCATGGTGCCACCGAATCGAGCTTCCCAATGCAACCACATTTGCCTTTATGGGAAGGCCCTTATTCGATCTGTTGTCATGCCTCTAGCGCTTCAGAATCTCTGTTGACTCAGTTGGTGGCTGCACAATCACCAGTGGCACCTCGTACAGAGTGGCTTCCTGATCCTCTGGATGCTCTACCCTGGATCTGTATGCCCACCAGCTTCGTCTGACCCACTCCTTGGGCGAATCTGTCTGCTCCATCGCCTAGAGGAGGACCTCGATGAACGCCACCGATACTGCGGGCGGGGGCCAGAGCGCCAACCTCTCACTCTTCTTCATACGATCAATCATGGCTTGTGCCGTCCAGGACATCTGCTGCTTGTTGTCAACCACGAACAGATCTCCCTCATCCTGGCCATCTTGACCTCGTCATCGCCGGCAATCTGCATTATCTTCTCCTTCATCAGCGTGGAAAGTTGGCCTTATCGCCGCCAGCGATCTGCTCGATCTCCTGGTCCATGAAGGTTCTGGCTTGGTTGGGAGAGGGGGGTGGTTGTGGAAGAGGAGACGAGCAAAGTTGCGGCGACGAGAAGGAGGAGATGGGCGTGGTGGATCTGGAATGCAGGAGAGGGAGGAGATGATAGCGGTTGTCTAATGGCGATGGAAGAGGAGAGGGCCCTGGCGGCGGCAACGGTTGTCTAATGGCGATGGAAGAGGAGAGGGCCCTGGCGGCGGTTCTCCATTGGATGAGAGGGCGGCGTGTGGAAAATTTTTCTATGACTAAATGCCCCTAGATTAAAATGTGTCCCCACATTGTCATTAGTACCGGCCCTACTAGTTGTAGTACTTTCGAATACTTTGATCGAAGTACTACCCATCTGTATGCCGTTAGATATAGAGGAACGAACGGCTGCAAAAAAAGCCCAACTACTGTAAAACTTGTATTAAATATATAGGGAACTAATCGCTTAGGCAGGTCAAGATACAACAAGTGAATTCTCGAAAATTCTACTGTATTTGTTATTCGTCCATTGAGAAGGTGGCCTAAGTGTTGTGATCTTAAACTGTGTTTTTGAAACATTTTATATAATCACGTGTTTGACACACGTGCGGTGGTAACTAGTGGGTTTACAAAGGCTCTCACAAAAATTACTCCCCCCGTTTCAAATAAGTGACTTAACTTTATACTAACTTTGTATCGTTATATACGGGTGTCCAAGGGGTGGACCATAGCTAACATGATGGTGCAATGTCAAAGCTCCCCGGAGGCGGAGCGATCTTGCTCGGATCACCATCGTAGGTCCATTTCAAAATTTTCCCGTCGGCGTCTGATCCGGACCAAGCCGAGACGTTGGCTTGACGACGTGCGGTGGAAACGGCGGCGGGATCTCGAAGGTATTATGGAGACGGGGACAACGGGAGCTAGGAGATAGATCAGCTCACGGGTCCACTCACTGGAGAGACCAAGGAGAAGGTGATCTAGGCGAGGCGTACTGCAAGTTCAAGGGGCGCCTCTTTCAACGAAAGAGGGCCAACGACACATGGGTCGGGTCCCATATGAAAGCAACCGTACTGCACGGACGGTATGCTAGGACCGCAGAGGACCGCAGCCCGGATATATGTCAAACGCTGCAATCTCGCACTTCTGAATAATGCACCGCATGCCCTTTCTAAGAAAAGGAGTGAGTAGGCGTACTAAATGCCAGCGGCCAGCCGACTGGCGTAAGCAAGCTTGTTGTCTTTTGTACACGTGTAGTACCTCAAGGCATCATCTGTCCGGACCCCACATATTTTGTCATCCAAAACGGTTATATTTTTGTTCACGTGTCGATTACGTCGTCTGTAAATTGAAATCAAACGGGGAAGAGGGAGGGGCTTTGCGGGTTTCGGACCACTCGAACGCCCGCATCCGACAATTCTGACCCATCCAATACCCTCTTCCTCGCCCGCGTCATTTCTCGTCCGAAGCGCTCTGCGCCTCTTCAAAGCATCAGCGCCGCATTCATGCCGACCCAGAGCAAACGCGACCTCTCACTGGAGTCGGCATCGAAGCGACGCGCCGCCCGCTGCACGCGTCTTTGCTCTGTATTGTAACGTACCCAGCTATAGACGCGTGCTCAGGTCAATACGGAGTACCTCTGCGCCGGACGTTTGCTCTGGGCTCACGGCGGTCCAGTGAGCTTGTTGCCGGACGTGAGGAAGGCATGCCGTGGGAAACGGGATCGGCCGTGGCCAGCTATAGACTAGGTTAGAATAGCCTAGCCTAGTCTGCTATAATTTAGTTGATACATGTCCGGTTTATATGGCAATCATCCAGTTTGCATGAATTTTATCCGGTTTGTTGGAAACCGCTTTGAGTACATCAGCTTTTACATCAATGTCCACAGACTCGTCTTTATAATCCCGTTGGTCCGCGGATGTGATTTGAGGATCAGTATTGGAGATGTCATTATCTCCCACAGCCACACTCAATCATTCCCGAGAGCGTTTCTCTGGTCCCTAGAAAAAGGAACTGCAGAGGGGCGAGAAGTCCAAATAAAGGAACTGTACCTCTGGCCGCTCCTGGTGCTCGCCGTCTCCATCTTCTCCACCATGGCCTCCTTCGCCGCCCTTCCTCTGGCCGCTCTCCTGGTGCTGGCCGTGCCGTGGGCATGGGAGCACCTCCTCGTGCGCCTCTTGTGGAGGCCCTACGCCATAGCCAGGAGGCACAGGGCGCAAGGGATCCGTGGGCCTCCCACTATGTGGCCAAAACCGATGCCAAATTCAGTTTTGAGGTATTTGGCATCGATGCCTCACGTTGCCCATCCGGTGCCGTAAAAAAAATTCAGGGCACCGGAGCACCTACATGCACCGATGCCAAATTCACAAAGCCAATAAAAAATGATATATCTCTCGTTCTTCTCCGCTGCGTGGCTCCAACGCTCGATTCCAAAGGCCCTCGACCACAACCTCCGGCCATGACCTCCGCCTTTGGACGCGAGCTCGGCCAGTCCGCGTACCACCTCCGCGTGGCCCGACGTCGTCGGCTCCGGCACGAGCTCGGCCTGCCCCCGAGCTCCGTCCTTGAACGCGAGACCAGCCAGCCCGCACAGCACCTACACACAGCGCAACACCGGAAACCTCTGTTGCGAGCTCGTCCCGCTCCAGCCCGTTCCATCTCCTCCACCCACTCCGACCCGTCGTCTTCCTTTGCCCGGGCTGCACAAGGTTTTCTGACTGGATTGGATAGGCGAAGGGGATTTTTTGGAGGAGGAAGAACCCGGTCAAGGTACTCTGCCTGGTTATTTTTGTGTGTAGGGCCCCCTTCTTTTAGAACGAGCGGTGCCCTACGCTGTGAGGCCGGTGCCTTAAAAAGTTTATTTGGCATCCATGATGACGTGGCACCTTTTTCAGCAATTTAGCACCGGTAACATAGTGGAAGGCCTTACAGGTTCCTGAAGGGCTCAAACGAGGAGGTGAGGCGGATGAAGGCGGAGACGGCCGACGTGGTGCTCGACGTCCGCGACCACAACTACCTCCCCAGGGTCGCACCGCACTTCCTCAAGTGGAGGGCACAGTATGGTACGAGATTCTTCTCTTTCTTTGCGAATATGGTACGAGATTCTGCTGGTAATTGATTTTGCTCAACGCTCCTCTGTTGCTGTTTTGGTTAATTTGTTGTATAATATGCTATATATGGTCACCCCAGGCGACATAGATTTTAGTGACCTGTAAGCTAACTGTTGATCCTGTGCAGTTATGATCTACTGTATTCTACTAGTAGTAGCAACATGGATATTATGTGGAGTACTATAGTTGATGATACGGTTGATAATATGCATACTTGCACATGTGTGATATGTGTGAATGGTCTACACAGGAGAGCCATTTCTGTTCTGGTTTGGCGCGAAGCCCCGGATCTGCGTCTTCGACTACGAGTTGGTTAGGCAGATCGTTTCAAGCAAATCCGGACACTTTCCGAAGAACGACGCGCACCCGAACGTGTTGGAATTGCTCGGCAAGGGACTGGTATTGGTGAACGGTGTGGATTGGGTGCGCCATCGCAGGGTCATTGACCCTGCTTTCGCAACGGATAAGATAAAGGTAATTGATATTATGCCTTAATCTCCACATAAAAAATGTAGTCCGCAGACAAGCGTGATGCAACCTGAATTCTAGTATGAATATCTGTCCACCTTGTACTAGTGTCAAGTAGGAAGAACACACTAGACATAGACATAGGAATGATCATATACAGAGTGTCAAATCAGTGACCTTTCCAAAAAGGAATCAAATCAGTGAATAAAAATAAAAAATGGGCATGGTTTAATTTTCTATGCAATTACTACTCATATTGTTTTTCACCTTCAATGTTAGGCGATGACGAAAACAATGGTGTCTTGCGCGGTTGCGCCCAATGCACGTTCGGTGTATTCGAAGAGCAGGCAGCCAAGAACACAAATAGAGAAATCCTAGTGGAATTCGACAAAGCGGTCCAAGGGTTAACAGCAGATATCATATCCCACACAGCCTTTGGAAGTAGCTACAAATTAGGAATGGAAGCCTTCCATGCCCAGAAAGAGCTCCAGGCAATCGCCATATCCAGTTTACTTAATGTGCAGATACCAGGATTCAGGTAACACCGCCCCATATATATGCTTTCATTTGCATAATCCTGCAGAATGAGAAGCTCATTCCCATATTTGACTCGCTTAATTAAGCGTAACTGCATATGTTCTTTTGAGACCAGCTACCTGCCCACAAGAAGGAATAGGCTGAAGTGGATGCTTGAAAAGAAGCTTAGAAGCACGCTCATGCGTATCATAAACTCGCGGCTAGCGTCGCGAGGGAGCGGATACGGAAATGATCTACTCGGTTTGATGCTTGAGGCCTGCACCACAACAGAGCAAGGGGGCAAGCAAGAGCAGCTAAGCTTGAGCATGGATGAGATCCTACACGAGTGCAAAACGTTCTTCTTCGCGGGTTACGAAACAACATCGATTCTGCTCACCTGGACAGTGTTCTTGCTCAGTGTGTACCCAGAGTGGCAGGAGAGGCTACGGGCGGAGGTCTTGAGGGAGGTTGGAAAGGGTAACCCCAGCGGCGACAACCTCGGCAAACTGAAAGAGGCAAGATCAGAAACCAACCCTTATCTTGATTTAATGATCATGTCTTCAGAAATTGCTTTGTGCATTAAAATATATTAGGATCATTCGACGCTCATGCATGCAGTGAAATTTCAAGATATGTACAGCTAACTAGAACATGACATGTGTTGCAGATGACGATGGTCCTCCATGAAACCCTGAGGCTCTACGGCCCTGCTCTTTTCATGCAGAGGAAGACCGTAACTGACATGGTGGTCGGAGCCATAACAATTCCCAATGACCATGCAGTTGTCATAGGCGCCCCATTCATGCACCGGGACAAGAAGGTCTGGGGTGAGGATGCGGATCAGTTCAACCCGATGAGATTCGCGAACGGGGTCGCGAGAGCGGCAAAGGTTCCACACGCCCTGCTGGCGTTCTCGATCGGGCCGAAGGCGTGCATCGGCCAGAACTTTGCGATGCTCGAAGCCAAATCCGTGATGGCGACGGTTCTGCAGAAGTTCTCGTTCGCTCTTTCGCCGAGCTATGTCCACGCTCCTGCGGATTTCCTCACTCTGCAGCCTAAGTTTGGCCTCCCCGTCGTTATGAAGCTGCTGGATGTGTGAAATGAAACCGGTTGGTTCTGAATGTTGCAGTACAGAACTTCTGAATTCTCTGCCTGAGTTGGCTGTGGTGCTTATAGTGCACGCAGTGTATATATTCTTTTCCAAATTAAGGTTGGAAAAGTAGTACGTACAATTACATACAGGAAAATATATTGCATGTGGCCTGACCACCCGTCTGTCTGCATGGATAGTCTAATTTTCGCTAATATATACTCCTGCCTTGCCTTTCTCTCTAAGCTGAATCTCCTCAGACGCCTCTTGCACCACTTGCACCGTTGTGGATGGTTTGTTGCCAAAGACTCTTGAATTCCCTCCCAGCCATAGCTTTCTCATAGCTGCTGCAAAACCTGCTCTGGAACTCGAAGATGGAAGCTGAGGCAGAACCTGAGAGTCATTAAGCTACGCGAGAATGGCGGCCAACCAACATGGCCACCTGGCGCATGCTGGTTGGCCGTGGCAAAAAAAACTTTTTGATTTTTTTGGAATATGAAATTGAGAAACTTTTTGAATTTTTTAGAAGTTGAAATTGAGACTTTTTTTTTCTTTTGAGAATTATTTTTAGATTACTTTTGAAAGATGGAAGTGAGACTTTTGTTTCTTTTTCATTTTAAGAATGTTTTAGGGTTTTTTTTTCTTTTTGAGATGGATGTGATGTTCACGTGCTATGAGACAGTTTTCTTTTTAATTTTGAGATGAAGTTGAGGGTTTTTCTCTGGGAGGAAGAAATACACGCACATCATTCTCTCAAGAGGCCCGCAATAGCGGACCCCAACCACTAATGAAAAACAAGGTGCACTCGGCTGGTCGCAGGCAATACCAATTTATAAGCCACTTCCTCCACGAGCCAAGATTTCAAAAGGGTCGTAGAACTTGAAAGCCAATTTATGGCTGGCCTGGGTGCAATAGAAGACTGCAGGTACGGCTGAAGTTTGAGAAACACCTGGCCCCCAACAGCAAAAACACGTTCAGTGCGATGTTTATCTGCTTAAGCTTTCATGCGTTGCTGAGCACGCAGCTGATGTTGTGTAACAGATTCCAACATCATCTCATGGCTGAGCACGCAGCTGATGTTGTGTAACAGATTCCAACATCATCTCATGGTTGTTGAGCCACGGTTGCAAATCTTCATAGTGAATAGCGCCATCAGGTTTCAGACCAAAGTGACGAGGCAGATAGCCATAGATGATTTCAAAAGGGGTTTTACCAGTAGCCGAATGCTAATTGGTATTATACCAAAACTCACAAAGAAGGATCCATTGGGGCGAGCGAGAAGGATGGCTACTGACAAAATAGTGCAAGAAACACTCAACTTGTTGATTGACACGTTTTGTGCGAGCTGAACTCCTACGAAGCAGAGTGCCAGTTTTCTAAAACAATTCCTTCCAAAAAGAGAAAAATTCACTACAGGACCTATAACTTGCGCTCGTGCCCACTTTAGTCCCTGTGGTTACAAATACCCGAAATACAGTCATCAAACTTGCTCTAGGGGGTCATCTAGGGTCCATTGTACACTTTGCTATACGTATTGGCTGATCTGGCCCGAGTCAACGGCCGCCAACTTGGCGCTGACTGTCACATGTGCTAGGCTGGCTTGAATACGCACACACAGAGTTTTTTTTTTGCAAATTTGCCAAAACAAAAGATCTGCCCCCACCTGGTCGCACACCTGGTTGGACCGAGCCGTTCACCTGGTCACATACCTGGTCCGACCCGAGACGCTCACCCGTTGCCCTCTCCCTCGCTCTCTGCCATAGCTCCAAACTCCGTCGTCGCCGGCGCCCTCTCTCCGCCGCCGTAGCCATTGTCGCCGCCTTCTCTCCTCATGTCATCTTCGAGCTCTGTTTGATCTGGGCTATGTGGCCGCTCTGTTTTAGTTCCATTGATCCCGTGCCCGGATTGTGGCGACCAGGTCAAGTTCTACCGCTCTGGCACCGATGAGCACGATGGGTGGGTCTTCTACAGGTGCACCAAACACCAGGTCAACTTCCTCTGCCTTTGATATGTTCATGGTTTGCATCAGATTGATCTATAAGTAGGTGATCTTTCTTCCACTACAAAAAAATACACTTCCGTGATGATACGTGTTTGTCACAGTAGGTCGCGTTTTTTGTCATGCATGTACATCCATGACGATTTTACGACAGAATCAAGATAGTCATACTTGTGCTGTCGTAGAAGTGTTCCATGACATTACCAAAATTATCATCACGGAAGTGTCCACTTCCATGACGATAAATCACGCGTCATAGAAGTTCTTTCGTCAAGGGTGACCGACACGTGGCATCCACCGTAACGGGATGCCATTACCGTCGTTAAGCTATCGAGTCCGGTTTTGGATCCGATAACCTGCTAACAGCCACGACCAATGCCGATTTTCCACGTGTAACATTCTCATTGGCTGACGGATCCACGCGTCAGCTCCGCATTGGCATAGGTGTCACTCATCCAACGGCCAAGATGGGCCTATGATATGTTGACACGTGGATGGGCCCAAAAGTGGCCCATAAAGTTTAAATGGGCCGACCCAACTGAAGGCCCATAAGATTTAGCGGACCATAATGGGCCGGCCCAGCTAAAGGCCCACAAGATTTTGCAGACCATAATGGGCCGGCCCAGCTAAAGGCCCACAAGATTTAGCAGACCACAATGGGCCGGCCCAGCTAAAGGCCCACAAGATTTTGCAGACCATAATGGGTTGGCCCAGCTAAAGGCCCAACATTCTCTGCCAAATCGGCCCATCAACGGCCTGTCCTAAACTCGTCATCATCGCGGCCCATGGTCACTTCTGGCCTGTTAACAGTCCGCTAAGTAATTGGGTCGAATTACGGCCCGGTGTATTTCCGGCCTGTTAAAGGTCCTGCTTCATTTGGGCCCATTTACAGGCTATCAAAACTTTCGGCCCATAAACGACTGTGAAGGATTTGGGTCATATTCGGCCATGTCTGACATTCGGCCTGTTAGAGGCCCACTATAGATTTGGGCCACTTTCGGCCTGTTGTCATTTTCGGCCTGTTAACGCCGGACGAAAACCATGGGCCATATGTGGCCCAACGTCATATCGGGCCCATTAACGACCCATATAAAAATGACGATAATCTAGCCCGACCAAAGTTCCAACCTGTTAAAGGCTCGTGTATTAGGTCGACGCATTTACGGCCCGTCCGAATTTCGGCCTGTCAAAGATCCGCATCGTAAATGGGCCACCATTTCGGCCTGCTAAGACCAGTGGGTTATTTGGCACAATCAAGGCCCAATCTCACTTTCGGTCTATTAAAGGCCCATGTTTTTTATGGGCTCGAGATATTTACACCTGTAAACGGCCTATTTTTACTGACGGCCCAAATTATGTTTAGGCCTGTTAAAGGCCCACTATAGGCACAGGCCTACAAAAAAAATGAAAGCTTATGCTGATTTAGGCCCAGATATTTTTAGTGGGCTACAAGCCAATTTCGGCCCGTAATCGTTTTTAGTCCAATTGGAATGGGCCTGATGAATTTGGCATGTTGGGCTCCTACGAAGCTTTCGGCCGGATACATTACTAAGATAAACCTACACTATACAAAAATAGCGTTGTAGTTACTGCAGCCTATGGCATCATCATAAATGTTGTATCACAACAAAATAAATTTCAACCATACAACAAAAGGCCTGTTGGCATAAAGTTTACAGTCCTTTCAGATAAAAGCACCATAAGATGTATAGAAGCACAGATCATTTGACCTGAGTGCTAATGTTTCAGGATGTAGAATCTGATGGAGCAGCACGATCTTCACCTTTTTTCCGCCATTGCTCTTAAACAACGAAGCGAATGTCTGATAGTCTGGTTTCAAAACCATTCGTATCTTGACAACATTTGTCAACCACTATTCTTGTTTCCAAAACGACGTCCATTAGGGATTGGACTTGTGTCTGGAGCACAGATATATCACTCTGTTTAGCGGGAAGATTTTGTTCAGTAGGCGATTTGGATGAGGTTACCTTGACAACCAACCCAGAATTACGCAGGAAGGTGCTTTTTGCACTGTTAGTGGAGAGATACTGACGCACTACAGCAAGAGGTGACATTGTGCCTGTGGTAGCCTCGTCACCTTCAGGTGGTTGTGGCTGTTCAATCATTTGTTCCATAGCTTCCTGAAAGTTTGAACTTATAGATTAGTGTACTAGATAAGTTACTAATGAGACAAAAACAAACAAAGTAGGTTAAACGTTTATACATAACTTATTTTGGTGAACTACTGTAATACATTAACATGTATTGTAGTGCCAACTACATAATAAAATCACTTTCGAAACATATGTCCATGTAGCATGCCTATTGTATTGTCTATTTCCTCACATTCGTTGACATCTAAGGATAAAGAGACATGGTTTAAAGTAGGATGAACATAATATGACATCATTCATATCATGGGCAAACAGATATAAAACAAATAGGCAATTTTATCATTGTGTGCACACGTGAACATAACAACTAGATTACAGATCAAGACCAAAAGAGTATCCTTCATCTCTTTTAAACCATGTAAGGTGAAATGATACGTTAAGACAACTGTGTATAAAAGTGAACAAAGTAACTGACATTGGCTGCAAACCAAGTAGTTAAATGAACACATCACAATACCAATTAGTTCAAAGGCAGGAGGAGTAAGGACTTACAAAAGCGGCTGGAACTGGTGTGCTCATGCCCTTCATCTTGCTGGTGTGGCAATCCTTGAAGATTTGCACTGCATTCGGTTTAGGTTCTTTTTGGTCCGCACGGGCTTTCCTCTGTATTTGGAACAAGTCAATATAGATACGATAATATGGCACAAAAAGAAGAAGGAAGTAGCAGCTATTTACAAGAGCCTCGCAGTGTGCAATATAGCTACGAGATCCTGTTGTCTGTTGGAATTTCACTTCAGAACGGTTGGTTTTGTTCTTCAAACAGCTAGCCTAGAAGAAGATACACTTGTAAGGCATATACATAAATACTAGTTCAATATGTGGTCTGATCAAATATA